TCCCGGAGCCGGTCCCGCGCGGGGCCACGCGTCCCGCGGGCGCGGGTTCCTAAGGACGACAACAGCACCAACTTTTCCTTTTTCCCTTCCCTTCCCTGCCCCGCACTCCTCCCCCTGCTCGCTGTTGTTGTGTGTCAGCACTTGGCTGGAGACTTCTTGAACTTGCAGGGAGAATAACTTGTGCTTCCCCACTGCGTGCCGGTGCCTTGGCCCCGGTGGACCGAGCCGTACCGCCTCCGAACCCCGTCGGCCCGCCACTCTTCTGGGCCCGACCCTGAGACGCCGCTCCCTGCCGGAGGAGAGGAACTGCCCGGCCGGCACCCGGGAGGAGAAGGAGGAGGCAAAGGAAGGGAACTCGCTCCCCGCGCCAGGTCCTTCGGCCAGAGCTTTTTCCATGTGGAGGCTCTTTCAATGGACGTGTCCCCGCGTGCTTCTTAGACGGTCTGCGGTCTCCTAAAGGTAGAGGACGTGGGCCCGGGGCTCAGACTCGGGGGGTGGGCGCGGTGCCCGGGCGGCCGCTATAGCTGAGTCCTTCCCCATCCCGGGTCCCGCCAGGCCGGACGTAAACAGACCCCCCTCCAAGTCCACGTGCAGCCGAGCCCCTGCTGGAATGCCCCCATACAACTGCCCCCCCCACCCCCCCGGCGACAGCCTCGCCCTTTTGGCTCAAACTCTTCCGCCCCTCCTCCTCCTCCTCTTAGGTATTTTATTAGGGCTGTTAACACTTAGATGATTAAAGAAAGTCAGAGATCCCCTGGAGAGGATGCCCCTGGCTTTCACCCGTTAGCTGCCAACCTGTATGTCCTGCCGTGGGACATCCCGTCTCCCTTCGTCAAGTTTCTCCAGGAGACCTGCTGTCCCTGCTCAGAGCCGCGTCCCGTTTGGGACTGGACTGAAAGTTGGGGTTTCTCCCTGTTTGTTTCCAGGAATTCGAGGGACACCTTGTACTGACATGTGAATTCATAGATATTAGCCATTAACGCCATCCCAGGAAGATCGCTTTGTATCTTGACTGCATCAGGGGGAAGGGTCCGGGATTGGAGTGGCCTGTCCTGGCATCCCTGAGGTTAGAGGCGTGGGCCACAAGTTGTAAGTGGCTTCGGAAGTTGTGGCCTTGAGTTTACTAGGTCTGGAATTCATAGACTTTGTGTGTGTATCAGGAAGTTCTATACAGTGCCTCTGAGGAAGTCACATGCACCATTTGTGCGTGTTTTTATTGCAACCGAGCGCTGAGCAGTGTGTGTTTGAGTTTAAAGGACAAACAAGGGGTGTCAGACCCAGTAGTGGTTTTCCCAGGTTCCCCGCAGTTTCGGCGCGAGTCTTATAGAAAATAAAGGTGACAGTCATTGACGCTGGGGGGAATGTCAGAGGAATTAAGAGTGGAATGGGAGGGAGAAAGCCTTAAGGCTCAGGAACGAGGGCCCTTCCATTCTCCGAAACGTCCTAGCTTCCGCTGCTCTGAAGTATCCCCGCAAATGGTGCAAGCCAGGTGGGCACCCTGGTGGAGGAGGCGGGCGGACCGAGCGGGAGCCGAGGCC